TTATTACTCATTTGCCTCTTACTGGACCTCATTTACTAATTAGACTTTATGATAGGTATGGTAGTACATAGAAGGCCTAGTACTATTTGTGGTTTCAGTCATCTACTAGAAGTCTTTGCATATTCTCCCCATGGGCAGGTGGGGACTACTGTATATCACATTTTGTTTATCCATTCTTTGTTGATGGACACTTGGCTTGATTCCCACCTTTTGTGAATAATGCTGCTGTGAGCATAGCTATGCAAATTTGGGTACATACCTAGCAGTTGAATTGTTGGGTAATATGTTAATTCTGTGTTCAGCATTTTGAAGAACTGCCAAGCTATTTTCTGTTCCATTTTGTCTTTTCACTTTCTTGATAATGTCCTTTGAAGCACAAAAAGTTTTTAATGTTGATAGATCCATTTTACTTATTTTTTATTCAGTTGTTTTTTCTTTTGATGCTATATCTGAGAAATCGTTGCCTAACTGAAGGCCCAGGTTTTCTCCTGTGCTTTCTTCTGAGGTTTTTCTTCTTATATTTTAAGCCTATGATCCATTTTAAGTTAATGTTTGTATGTGATGTGAGGTATAGGGGTGCAACTCCATATTTTGCATGTTGGTCCCAAATTGTCTCAATAGCATTGTCAGAAAGACTGTTCTTTTCCCCCGGTTGAATTTTCTTGGTACATGTGTTGAAAAATCAATTGATCATAAATGTAAGAGTTTACTCTTGAACTCTCAGTTTCTTGATTATGCACTATATATATATATAAACACTATTATTTATTTACTGTCCCTTTGTACTTAGATTTTAAAATAAGGAAGTACTAGTCTTGTTACTTAAGTTTTTCTTTTACGAGATTGTTTTGACTGTTATGGATCCCTCGCATTTCCATATGAATTTTAAGATGTCAATTTCTACTTTGAGTTTGTAGATCAATTTCTGGAGTATTGCCAACTCAACAATCAATATTAAGTCTTCCTATCCCTGAATAATGGAATTAATTAAATTTTAATCAGTTGATCAATTCTGTTTTACCCTTTCTTATTTTGAGAAATGATTTTAATTTCTGACCTTAATGAGCTCCGTCATCTACATTGTCTATTTTAAAATAGCCACCTTTTCTTACTTTTTTCTAACCTGTAATTACCTTCCCTTTTCACATAATACCTCTGTGAGCTTGTACTTTTTTATTATTCACCATAGTATTTCAATTCTAATTCACTGTTCATATTTAATTTCTTTTTTTTCACACTGCCTCCTTCCTCTCCTTCAAATAAATGCCTTTTTGTCCTTAATAATACTTAACTTTTGAATGGGATTGTCTCCTCATCTCCTTTATCTCACTTCTTTCACATCCATCTTTCTTAAAAAGTGGTCTTCTCTGCCTGCTTCTATTGCTTTATTATTCTCTCACTTAACCCTTGGCTAAGTGCCTAGTTATGCTGGACTTCAGCATTTTTTTTCTGTATAGTAAGTGATTTGGTCTATATTTGTTCTATTTATGCTCTTATTCTAGCCTCTGAACCCTCAGAGTCTACACTCAGTATGCAGAAGTGGAGCTATTCTGTGCTGAATTTGTGGTGACAACCTTAGAATCATTTGCCATACCAGCAGCCGCCTTTTGGGGGCCTCTGTGGAACCCAAAAAAGTAGTTTAAGACACTGCAGTCCCTTCAACCCTAAAATTTAAAATTTGGTAACTCGTTAGCAATTACAGAAGTTGGCATTCTTCTTGAAAGTTTCAAATAGCTTTTTTCAAATTAAATTATCTTACTCCTGGACATTTTATAGGGTCTAAACTCTTTGTTGCTCTGTTACTCCCTACTGATTTTTTTGTCCTTGACTTTAATGTCCCTCCCTCTAACCCCTTCCCCCCCACATACACAGAGAGAGAGAAAAAGAAAGAATATCTCTTTTTAAGTACACTTCAAGAAGATTTTCCAGATCATACCAGCTCACAGTAACACTTTTTCCACTAATCACTGCAATAATCATTTATGCCTTCATTGGCACTTTATAGTACACAAAAAATTTTATATTACACACAGAAATACTACACAAGGTATTTTGAGCTATGTAAAAATGTAGGCCCAGATTCTGAACTAAAGACAAATAATATAGTGGTGTTAGGGAGAAAGGATGTCCTCAGCAAACTCCACAAATAGGTTTTATGGACTCCATTCCCACTCCAGACCAGAGATATCCAGGACACCAAGAACTACAAATCCCATAATGTCATCATCACCGAAAGGAGGATTGCTGGGAAGTGAGGGTGGGGTTAAGCAGCCACGTTTGGTATAAAACCAGACATATGGGCTTGGGGGGGCTCTTGGTTTTTCTCCAGCTCTTAACATGCTCTTGGGATTCCAGCTCACTGGAACTAGTAGGACGCATTCATGAATTTATCTCCCTTTCCTTCCCTCTGAGTTACTCATTTCTTCATTTCCCTTTCTTTTGTAAATAAACCTTTTATTAATCTTTTTGTGTGTGCCTACCTGCAGTTGAGTATTACTGTAAGTCCCTTTTAAGTGCGGGTGAGGACCCACAGTCAGGCAAGCCATTTCATATCGGGGTTGCCCTGTAACAGTGGAAGAAAAGAAATGTACAAAATGATTTTTGAGATTAATTAATGAGTGCTGTAGAAAAGAAACAGATGACGGTCTCTAGGAATTTAAAGAAGGTGACGATAACTGTCCCCTGGGAGAATAGGGCAAAGTATCACAGAGAAGGTGGTTGAGTCTTGAAGGGAATTTAGTACCTGATATACAAAGGTAGACATTCCTGACTGAAGAAGCTGTGTGAACAAGGCAGAGGTAGAAAAACACACAAGATGATAGGTGTTTTAATTTGGCTAAAGAAAAAGGTTTTTTTTTCCTTTTTTTTTTAAGAATGGGGTACAGGCCAGAGTCGCAGGGCTTGAGAAGATTCACCAGAGAGAGCGGGGAGCAGAACAGGCAGATGTACCGAAATACACTGCTAAGGGGAGCAGCGGAGCGGGCGAGACGGGAGCGGTCTGCTGCGCCATGTGGGTTTCTCCCCAGCTGGCCGGGCATCAAACTCTCGCTGCTAAGGCCGTGTACAGCCCCACAGTGCTGCGCTCAACCCCCAGCGTCACCAGGGAGGCCCTGAAGAAAAAGTTTAAGACAGTATTGGGGAATTTGTAAAGATAAAGCAGACCTGGGCATAATTTTGTTGTCTTTTTTTATGATTGTGTATCTCGTTCCCCAATTACGATATACTCTTTGAAACAAGTACTGTCTTCTACATTTAACCTCTTACAGCAGGGCTATGAGTAGAGAGTACATATCTAGTAAAGTTTTACTGAATGAGTTAAAGTGTTACAGGACAGAGTGAGGGGCACCCCAGAACCCCCAAACCTGCTTGCTCTAAATAGGTTCTGCCATCTGCTGTGACAAAGAAAAGACAAAGGATATAGTTTCCAAATCTAGCATCTGAAGTTACCCATCCCCTCGTGGGTAAATTTCCAATCAAACTTTGGCCCAAAGTAGGGCCACTGAGACCTGAAAGCCTGCCACATGTCTAAGGCACCTTCTGGTGGGGACCCATAGAAAAGGGGCAGAAGGGGCTCAACACGTCTGAAAGAAAAAGAGCAAAATTAAAATCAAAGCTGCTATTGTTGACCTCGCCATGGGGTCTCTCATACACACCTGTTGGAACTAGTCCAGAACCAAAAAGCAAGTGAAGCTTCTTCACATTTCTCCCTGCTCCCTGTGCCTCTTCAAGGTGTTCGTCTGGCTCGCCATCCTTCTTTCCTTCTCCAGTCTTCTCTCCAACTTCTCTCCTCCTTGCTCAGCTCCACACTTCCTGGGGGGAAGAGGGGCATGGAATTGGAACCTTTCCTTTTCCAGGGGACCACCTTGTTAAAAAAGGTGGAACCAGTAGTTTTTCAAACAAGCATTAGGTAACTTATCACACCCTTCTGTTTATATAGACTGTGGTTTTATCAATAAAACTTACTTTAGATCTCCATAGTTATAATTCTGTATAATTTCGAAATCCTTATGAAATTTAAAAGAATTTGACAGATAGGAGTTTGTGTAATCCATTTAAGAGTGCCCAGTTTCATTCATTCTCAAAGGGACATGAGAAATGCTGTTCTAAGTTGTGAAAAAGAAAATCAATATAAATAAGCCTTATTTTTGAAACTTAGTCTCTAAGCTCTTTTTAGGTTTTCATTTTGAAGAATTTTTCCTTAGGATTCAGATTTCATTTAACTAGAAATATTGTTGAAAAGAAATGAATTAAAAGGTACATCCAAGATACTATGTTGGATTATGTGTGGGTAACACTTTTCTTTTTAAAAAAATTTTTTTAAGAATGTTACTGTTTTTAAATTTTTTAAAAAGATTTATTTATGCATACATGAACTAAGGTATAGGCCAGAGGTGCAGGAAGTGAGAGGATTCACCAGAGACCGAGCGGGGAACAGAACAGGCAGACTGACTGAAATACGCTGCAGAGGGGAGCAGCGGGCGAGACAGGAGAGGTCTGATGTGCCATGTAGGTTACCTCCCTGGCCAGGGATCCAACTCGTGCTGCAGAGGCTGTAGATAGCTTCAAAGTACTGTGCTTAAACTTACCCTTGCACCACCAGGGAGCCCCAAAAGAATGTTATTTTATATGATTAAGAAAAAGATTAGAAATACCTACTACAGTACTGAAACAATGTTCATATTACTATAAATTCTTGCCACTGCTGATCTCCATGGAAAAAATGTTATGTACAGACATAATAGAAAGACAAAGAAATTAAGTGTGCCTGCTTTCACCTTTTTCTTTGCAATGGCATATTCTATGCTAGTCTTTTTTCATTTATATAAGTCAAATTATTCTTGACAAATTGGGATATATATATAGAATTGAGACTTTTTTGTCATTAAATGGAAGTACGACCACTTCAAAAATCTTTTTTTTTTTTTAGAGGTTGTTATGGTAGTGTAATTCCTTACTTTACAATATTTATTTTGTTTTAAACTTTCTATGTCATGTACTAGGTGAAAAACCATTTCGCTGTGATGAATGTGGCATGAGATTCATTCAAAAATATCACATGGAAAGGCATAAGAGAACTCATAGTGGAGAAAAGCCTTACCAGTGTGAATACTGTTTACAGGTAAGAGGTGGTTTGAAATTCTTCCATCCTAAATTAAATTACAAAATAATTGTAATAAAATAAATTAGAAAGTGGCATTTACTACCAGAACTCTTTGAAGAACTTCCCAACTGTTGCTGATCAGTTATATTAGACAATTGGCTCAGCAAATTAGTTTGGAATTGCTTACATTATTACACTTTATCTTTATATTAATTACTTTTTTCTTTTCTTTTCTTCTCTTTCCTTGGTTGACCGAAAACACAAACTTAAACAAAAAACTCACTACCAAATTCTGAATTACACAGTATTTTTCCAGAACAGATCGTGTATTGAAACATAAACGTATGTGCCATGAAAATAATGACAAAAAACTAAACAGATGTGCCATCAAAGGTGGCCTTCTGACATCCGAGGAAGATTCTGGCTTTTCTACATCACCAAAAGATAACTCACTGCCAAAAAAGAAAAGGCAGAAAACTGAGAAAAAATCATCTGGGATGGACAAAGAAAGTGCATTGGATAAATCTGACCTGAAGAAAGACAAAAATGATTACTTGCCTCTTTATTCTTCAAGTACTAAAGTAAAAGATGAGTATATGGTCGCAGAGTATGCTGTTGAAATGCCACATTCTTCTGTTGGGGGATCACATTTAGACGATGCTTCGGGAGAAATACATCCACCTAAGTTGGTTCTCAAAAAAATTAACAGTAAGAGAAGTCTAAAACAGCCACTGGAGCAAAATCAAACAATTTCACCATTATCTACATATGAAGACAGCAAAGTTTCAAAATATGCTTTTGAACTTGTGGATAAACAGACTTTATTGGATTCAGAAGGCAATGCTGACATTGATCAGGTTGATAATTTGCAAGAGGGACCCAGTAAACCCGTGCACAGCAGTACTAATTATGATGATGCCATGCAGTTTTTGAAGAAGAAGCGCTATCTTCAAGCAGCAAGCAACAACAGTAGGGAGTATGCGCTGAATGTGGGTACCATAGCTTCTCAGCCTTCTGTAACACAGGCAGCCGTGGCAAGTGTCATTGATGAAAGTACCACAGCTTCCATATTAGATTCACAGGCACTGAATGTGGAGATTAAGAGTAATCATGACAAAAATGTTATTCCAGATGAGGTACTACAGACTCTATTGGATCATTATTCCCACAAAGCTAATGGACAGCATGAGATATCATTCAGTGTTGCAGACACAGAGGTGACTTCTAGCATATCAATAAATTCTTCAGAAGTACCTGAAGTCACCCAGTCAGAGAATGTTGGATCAAGCTCCCAAGCATCCTCATCAGATAAAGCCAACATGTTGCAGGAATACTCCAAGTTTCTGCAGCAGGCTTTGGACAGAACTAGCCAAAATGATGCCTATTTGAATAGCCCGAGCCTTAACTTTGTGACTGATAACCAGACCCTTCCAAATCAGCCAGCATTCTCTTCCATAGACAAGCAAGTCTATGCAGCCATGCCCATCAATAGCTTTCGATCAGGAATGAATTCTCCACTAAGAACAACTCCAGATAAGTCCCACTTTGGACTAATAGTTGGTGATTCACAGCACTCATTTCCCTTTTCAGGTGATGAGACAAACCATGCCTCTGCCACATCAACACAGGACTTTTTGGATCAAGTGACTTCTCAGAAGAAAGCTGAGGCTCAGCCTGTCCACCAAGCTTACCAAATGAGCTCCTTTGAACAGCCCTTCCGTGCTCCATATCATGGATCAAGAGCTGGAATAGCTACTCAATTTAGCACTGCCAATGGACAGGTGAACCTTCGGGGACCAGGGACAAGTGCTGAATTTCCAGAATTTCCCTTGGTGAATGTAAATGATAATAGAGCTGGGATGACATCTTCACCTGATGCCACAACTGGCCAGACTTTTGGCTAAAAAAAAAAAAAAAAAAAAGTGTAAATAATACTGGCACTTTAGAACAGATTAATCAAGAGTGGGGTTACTCTGTGTAAAATGGAGTGCTGTACAGATTTAAGAGCAATGCGTTATAACAAGTTAGGCTGATATGAATAGCAAGATAATCCAGTAACTGCATTTTGTTTGGTTAGTCAGCATTCTTTGAACTGCCTTACATGTTGTCACCTTTATAGAAGCAATGCATAACTTGTTTTAGATCAGAAACTTGCTATTCCACCTACACCAAGTTTAAAAGGAAAAAAAAAAAGACTCGCACAATTGTTTCCTAACTGATAACATTGTACATTCTTAGGAGATTAGTAATTGTGTGAAATTTACTCATACTGTTTCTAAGTTTTTCAGCATAGTCATTGCACTTCAGCAGGGAATCTGAGTATACTTTACAGACAGAGTGAACTTAAAAGTTTAAATGTCAAGAGATTATGGCTTAAATAAAGTAGTGTGTCCTATAGGGGGAAAGGAAACCACATCTTAAAAAGAATGATATGCCATATACCCTTGATTTTAATTTTGCGTTATATTGACATGGTGTTTTTTTTTTTTTTTTTTTTTTTTTTTTTTGAGAAAAAAAATAATAAAAATCTGATAGTCTAAGACTCCACTATTTAAAAGCCTAATTACTTTTAAAATATGCATACTTTCAAAACTTTTACCAAAATAACTGTTGAAGCATTCACTTCTCTGGAAGTATGCATATTGGTGTCAGTTTCTTTGTACAGTGTACGTAGATATTTTTTATGATTTTTCATGTGCAGGTATCAAGGTTGAAATTTTAGTAAAAAATATTCTGTAGATTACATTCCCAAGAACATAATGCTTACACAAAATGTATATTCCACGTTTTAAGCTTAATTGTATTTTACTTTACATATACACTTCAGTTAACATAGAGCACTTAGAATCTATTTGGTATTTTTGATTTCTCAAAGTAAAAAAGAATTTAGATTTTTAGGTTTGGTATGATTGTGTCATAATCATCTCATAATTGACTATTTTAATTTTTGGCAATAAAAAGGAAATTGGGTATCTTTGGAAACTGTAAAACCTGGTATAATCCTTCTCTTTCTAGAATCTTAATAGATTGGATAATTAAACAGTATCCAGAGAACTAAAGAAATGGGCATTTTAATTGCTTATTTTATCTTGAGTTACTTTTTAATGAACACGGCTCATTACAATTTTACAAACCAAAAGTGTTTACTAATTCTAGTAACAACAATTTCTTTTACAGCTAGATGAGTGATCGGAGACTTTTTGTTGCATTTCAAAATCTAAATAAACTACAGACTTTATCCTTATACCACGAATGTTTTTTTTTTAATACTTTGTCTTAAAATAATACAGCATGGTACAATAAATAGTGCTTTTATATATATCTATATATACATGTATACTTTTCTAAAGAATGATGGTTTGAGTTACATATTGGGCAATTTTGATTTTTGGAAAATAATAGTAATACTGATTTTATCCTCTTTAATTTGTTCCTACTTTTTGGTTTTTAATTTTAGATTTTCATCTTTGTCACAATGCACATATTGATTAGCAACAGTGATAATTTAAAATTACTACCCTTGGAAGATGAAACTTTATTGTTGTTAATTTTCCATCTTAACTCTTATATTGGCCCTACAGATCTGCAGTCTTTGTTTCAGTATAGAATGTTGTACATTTAAATTATTTTATTTAATATTATCCCAAGACTGTTCTCATAAAGAAAGGGGACAAAGAAACACCCCCCTTTTAACACCTTTCACATTTATTTTGAATATATTGTGTTTTATGGTAAGGAGTATAAATTATGTTTAATGTGGCTTCCTCTACACTTGGTTATTAAGCTTTGCTTGAAATATTAATTTTCCCATTTGACAGCTTTCTTTGCTGCCAAATTTTTCAAGAATTTTGACTTCTTTGAAGTAGGTATTTAAGTTCTGCCATTATTGACTCTTAAGAATGTTGTGTGTTGTGTTGTATATCACAATTGCAAGAAGGCTTAATTCAGGTGAGATGTTAAAAATGGAACTGTGCTCACACTAGTAGGCATATGTATTTTTCTCATGCTATTGGAGATAGTACGATTTTATTTGCTGAATTGATTTTTTTTTAAGTCTGATCAGAAATTTTTTTTCTATTGAGAACTTGATGTAATTCTTGGTACAGCATAAAGTTTTTTGTTTTAATATCACCACCAGCACAGTTTTTAGAATGTGACTCAACTGCTAAGCAGTTAGGATAAGCTTAAGGAGGAAGGCCTTTGAAAATGGTAGTTATGCAAGCAGAATTTCAGGTGTTGCATTCCTGTCTTCAACACATTTATTTAAGTCTACATAATGGCAGATTTTTCTACCATATTAGAAGCATATTTGAGATCAGTGATACTTTGGCATAACTTATTGACTTACCATTTAAGTACAGTCATTACTCTCTTACTGTGAAATTCTCAATGCCTACTAGAGTTACCTTGTACTAAGCATCTCAACAATTTGGGTTTCCCCACTTGGTTCAGAAAGTTTATTTCTCCCTGGGCATTAATAGAGAAAGCAAGGCTGCTTGTGCTGCTTTAGATCAGAAGATTGAGGATATGAGATACCTTTTTAAAATTTGTGTTTCACATTTCTCTCAGTGAGCAAAGTGTTCTATTAAAAACCTGCTCTTCCACCCTTAAGCTTTTTGGTCAGTGTGAGTGAGGTAATGCTTTTTCACTTGGACCTACTCTGACGTTTTGAAGATTGGAAACATCATGTTAAATGACAGAATACCTCTTGAACATCTAAAAGCAGGGTTATTTTTTTTAAACTTCGTATTGCACACACATTTCATTTGGTTCAGAATGTTTGAGTGGCTCCTAAAGTTTGAATCTACTTCAAATTTTCTATTTGATACCATAACAATCCATCCTCTTGGCTCTGGCTGAGGACTTGTCAGTTGGGGCATTTTCTCTGAGAGGCAGAAGAGGCCTTGTGCTCAGGGTAGGCTTTCATTTTCACAGGCAAGAGAAACTTGCAAAGTGCCAGCGAGGTTAGATCTTTCACCACTTCTATCATTGTATTAATTTGGGTTTTTAAAGGGCTGTTTAAAAAAAAAAGCCGGGAAACTTTAAAAGTAGGCATTACTGTAGTACTGCATTTCTTAGAACACTTAAACTAGAATTTGTTTTTTCACAGTATATTTACTTGAAGAAGCACTATTATAATCAATGAGAAACTTCTTGACTCTGCAATTTAATTTAAAATTTTTCCGTTTCAAATTGCTTTATTTCAGGGAAATAATTTTCCAGTTGTTTTTGCTATATTCTGCAAATAAAAACCGTGTTTCCTTTTTTCACTTAAACTTTGGTAGGAAACAAACTAAAGCAGACAAACATTTCTTGTTGTGTTTGTTGCTTTCTTTAATCCAATGGATAAAAAAGTAAAACCCTGTAAACATTATTTTATTTTTTTATGCAATACCATGCTGTAAATATGGTTCATCAAATAAGGATGTACCTATGATTGAATCTTTAATTCTGCACAGTTAGAGTTTATATATAAACGTGTCTTGACAATCAAGGACTTTTATGTGAGTCTTCCTTTATGATGTTTATTAATGTTATGCATTCCATTTGTTTTGAAGTGAGTACCAATGTGCTAATTTGTATTGTCTGAAAGTATGTAATGTTTTTACAGTTTGTTTTTAAGAATTTGTAAATATGTACAAACAAATCACAGTACTGCTTTATGTTAGAAGGCATATGATGTTGTACTGTATGTAAGCAATAATACATAGCAGTGCTAACTTTACAAGTAGCATCAGGAAAGTTCTAAAAACATTTCAGAGTTACTATCCTTATTTCATTTAATAATGATTATCTTTAATCAGTTTTTATAAGCAAATTCCACTGTTCCTCCTTTTGGAACGTAACACTGTTTACACAGCATAATTGAAGTTGCAGGGGAGACAGGCTAAATCTGACTTCATCTGTATCACTGTCACTAAGCATTGAATGGCCTTACCACTCTTCTGCAAGATGGAGGAAGACCGCAAAACTTAGTGCCCATCACACTGAAGTAAGGGGGTGTGTTTTTTCCTGCTTCTGTACTGCTACCTGACTTTGTGGTTTGCTTTGGATTTTAATATTTGTTTCTTTTTAGCTTCAAGCCAATAGGTTTTGAGGTGACTTCAGCTCCATTGTGAAATAGATAGTTCTCTTCATATTTCATAGCTACAATTCAGTAATTCTAAACTTTCTACTTTGATTTTTAGATACTTATTTTTCAAGCTTGATTTCTCAGCTGACCAGATGAATTTATTCAACTTCAATACAAAGAAAGACAAACCTATTGTAGTTTGAATTGAGTAGATATTATACTGTACAGAACAGCTAACTATTTGAACACACACATCACTGCTTTAGAAATAAAACCGCCAATTTATAAATGTATATGACCTACATTTTATAGGAGAAATGTTTTTAAATGCTAGTCATTTATATAATGTGCTTTGAAGGATTTGCTAGTCCACTTCTGTCACTTTTTAGTACACTGGTATCTTTTATATGTAATGTATGCTTTTTATTATTGTAGCAAAGCATTTCAGTAGAAAGAATTTTGCAACAATATGGGGGAAATTTTTCATTGTTGGATTTGAATTATACTGGATTTTATCTGTGTAGTCTTGTCTTTATTTTAATGCTGTCTGGAAGGGAACTTGGTATCCAAATAAAGCAGGTAACCTCATTTTACTTCAAGGGCATACTGTGTAGTGCTGAATTTAATCTGGAAATCTGATGATTTTGAAAAAAAAAGTTTATAAAAAATTGTACAGAAGAAATTAAATGTGTGATGGAAATCCTGATGGTGGAGCACGTTGAATTTTCTGATACATAGTGTTATTTTCCTGGGATCCCCCTCTGCCTTTGTATTTCAACTAATAAAGGAAAAACCCTGTCATTGAACCTGATAGGATAATAGGACATTCTGGTTATACAGTATTACTTTTCCATTTTCCTATTCCATTGACCCTTTCTCAATCACTGTAAATTTTTATTTTTATTTACTGTTGATAATTAAAACATGTACATAATATAGATGCTGTTGTATAGAACTGAATGAATTAGGTTGCTATGTTTGAATGGGTAACTAAGCGAAAGCTGGATACTGAGAGTTCATGAAGTGCCAGAACAAATTTGCAGGCGAAAGGGGACATCATGTGTTCTAGGAGGGTAACAGAGATGTTTCTTCAACCCTCTGGGAAATCAGTGTGAAAGAATCTACTGCAAACTCAGTGTCTGTGGGGCCTTCCTCACCTTCCCAAATATACGAGCACTAAATTTTAAAATCTACTCAGGTGAAAATTGCTTTGCAATGAAACTTATCACATTGAAATTTTCACTGTTTAAATAAGATATTTGTGATATTTTTAAATACAAACCTTCACATCAGTAGTCAGCAGCCTGACAGTTGAAATTCGGTAAGTCTCAATATATTTTTAAATATACTCTACCCTCCAGATAGAATTGTTTTTGGACAATTGTGGGAGGATTTTTTCTTTTGTTTCGTTTAAGTGCATTTTTTATTGTCATTGTAAAAATAAAATCTTGTTTGACCCCATATTATGCCATGGGTGAATTGCTGAGCCTTTATAATACATGAAAGCTTGTTTCATGCATAATCATGAAACAAATATGTTCTTTAAACTGACCTATTAACAGAGGTTTAATGAGTTTCACGACTAAGGACATTGTTATGTAGTTAATATTGCACTTGGAGTTTATAATGCCATTTAATGTATTGTGCGGTACAAAAGGAAGTTTTATTTTAAATTGAATTGTTAGACTGTACTTGAAAATTCTGCATTCTAAATGTGGACACTGGCTAAAAAACAATATAGCATACAGTTTTATGAATAATTTCCTAGCTGAATTTTTCACAATATTTTGAGCCAACTAACTACTCGTAAATATTTTTAAATGGTGTGTAGATTAATGTTACAAAGAGAAAAGGAAGTCTGTACGGAATTAGCAGTTTGTTACACAACAGACTGGGTGACAGCAAGGCCTTTACTACTGTAGCTTTCCATAGAATGTTGTTAATGCTAAAATGCAGGAGTCAAATGTTATTCTTGTCAGTATTTTAGACTTTAAATATGTTTACTATAGAGCTAAAAAGACATGCTTTTTTTTCTTTACAGATTCTTTTAGCTCATCTTCATACATGGAATTTTTTTGGTCATTAATGGAATAGTCTTCAGTCTATTTCACCCTTTTACTACCTTGTAGTCCCCTATCTTGTGACCATTGGGACACAATGGCTACAGGTAGGAGTGCGGTCTGGGTCCTTGGAAAACATGAACTAATCGGACTTTGCATTTCCTAATTCCCTGGCTTTATTAGCCTGGTTCTTTAACCATTTATACATAATATCACTGATAGTTTGTCTAATGCATTTCCTAGATGCCATTTTTTCTTGAACGATTAGGAATGGTAGGGAGAGAGGTGGGGAGATAACCCTACATGATATTTCTCCCACCTTCTGAAGATAACATAACAAGAAAAATTGAAGTCACTCAAATTGAAGTGTTGTCATTGAAGCTTTATTTGACAATTTATGCTCAAAAGGAGTATGAAAATTAATATGTTCGGGTAGAATTAATTTTTTCAGAGAGCTGCCTGTTTCCCTTTCTTTACCCCCCCCCCAATCCTGTGATGAACCTGATAAGGTATTAGAATGAATTAGATCTTTTTTAGTGAATACTCAATGGAAGTGAAAAAAGTTTATGCACTAAAGGTGAAACTTGGTCTTGTCATTTTTAAAAAAATATGTATGCATATAAGAGCTGGGGTGCAGGCCAGAGATGCAGGGGGTGAGAGGATTCACCAGAGACAGTGGAGAGCAGAAAAGGCAGATGTGCTGAAACTCATTGCTAGGCAGGAGAGGTCTGCTGCACCATGTGGGTCACCTCCCTGGCGGGGGATCAAACTCGTGCTGCAATGGCTGCGGATAGCTTCATAGCACTGCGTCCTGGTGCCACCAGGGAGGCCCCTGGTCTTGTCATTTTCTTATGCCATTTTCAAATACCCTTAAAGGACATTTACAGTAAAACATTTTACACACATGCAGATGTATGTGCAGGAGAACTGACATGTAAAATATGATACTATAAGTGAAAATGACATTTCAAAGTGATTTTTAAGTTACTGGAGAAAACTCACATTTACAGATGGACTTGAATTGTAAAAATAGACAACATTTTAGCCTTTGCATATTTAACAATTTATATAGATGAACCTTTAAACTTAAGACTCTTAATTTTCCCCAACTTCTCCCATTCATATTAAGACTAAAGTTGATGTCTATGTCAAGGTGATGAAGGGGGCCAAAGTAAGTGTCAGTAATTGTGTTTGCTATTGATTTGAACCCTTAACTTGCTGGAGCATAGTAGTCATTCCGCATTGATTATCTATCTACTTAGTTATGGGCATTATGCTAGATGCAAATGAAGGCAAAGTCTGCTAACATTTCCTGAACATCTGAAAGATGTTTATAATGGTATCAGTTGTAGGATGCAGTGTTGTACTTTAGATTATTAAAGCAAATAATGAGTTTTAAAATGTTTTGGGTGCTGTGCTGATTTCTCTCTCATTCAACAAATGGGTTAGTAGTAGTAGTCCCTATTTTAGAATAATTTTCTAGAAAACAATTTTAATAAGTCTATTCCAGAAAGATAGTATATATAAGACAATATAGTGGAAATGGAAAGCTATTAAAAATTACCCCCTGCTTAAAACACCAAACATATTGGTAGGATTCAAACCTGTACTGGGGAAATGAGATAGTAAGTAGACTTTGTTTGGAGGAAGTGACCTATTACAGGAGTGGGGCATTATGCTCTTTAGGGATTCACAGACCTGAAGGTGAAAATACACCAGAGAATCACCTGTACCCCAAGGCTAGGGGGCTGGAAACGGAGGATGTTTTCCTGAAAGAACTAACTGAACCAATGCTTGGCATTCTAGCGCTGCCAGCAATACTGATACTATAAATCCCTTGATGTCATATGCCACTAGTCAGTTCTCCTAGGTTATGATTGTGTTTGATACTCCATGTATTTCTACTAGTTCCTAATCATGCGAAACACTACTTGACTTTCCCCTCCAAGATGTTTGGGCTACTGTGAAAGTTACCTGTAAACCTCCAATAGGATAATTTCCCTTTGTTTCTTTATGGGAACTCTAGCACACATCTTTTGCCAATGACAATATGAGGGTTAAGATTTATTGCTAGAGTACAAAACTAAATGAAGAGATCCATTTGAGAAAAAGTGTTCAGAACAAGTCAGGATTAAACTGAGCTCGCGGAAAGCGTTTTTCCATGCTGACCGTCATGATTTGAGAGCCTTTATGGTACTCAGTGGTGTAAGCAGTGCTGCATTAGGTGTGTGGGCGTTTGTTGAGGGTGATGATGAGACAGGAGCGTGTAGTTTGGTAATATTCTCCAGGCTACATGCGAAGATACAGAGCAGTGAAATGAGCAAAGTATGGTTAGTATGGGAAGACCTTTAATGACTGTCCCTTGATCTATCTCTTCGTTCTAGCCCTTCCTGAGACTCAGTTTTTTCATCTGTAAGTTGGAGATGATAATAGCTATCATTACTGTGAATATCAAATCATTTGAGATAATTTGTAAACTACAAAGCACTAACCCTTTCCTAGTTCGTATTTTAATAGTGGTACAAAGACGAGTGGTACATAAAACAGTATTGGAAGCCTCATTTTTTGCAAAGCAGACCATGTAGTCAATTCCCGACATGCTCACAATATCTTTTAAAAGACTGGAGAATATGATGGTGGGTCTGTCTGGATTTTACTGACCAACAAGGAATAATTAGTGAGATGGAAGTGATAGGAATATTGTAAATTTATGATACCATTATCATAAACCCTGGGAGACATGGAACATTACGGAGAAAGTTGTATGTTTCAGTGAATGAGAAAAATCAATCAGTCTTGCAAGGAGATTAAAAAAGAGGCAGAAATACCATCTTACAAAAGTAATCTATTGAACGCTCATATAACTCAAGTTTTTGGTCAGTCATGGCTGGTCTATGAAGTAAAAGCAAATCTCATAGACGGTAAGATTAAAATGTTTCCACCTGCTTCACCAGGCAGGAGGAAGGGGTACGTGTTTATCAGCATGGAGGTGGTAGACTGGCTGGCTCACCTTTTTCTCCTCTATTTTTCTTTTACCATTTATCTCCATTCTTTCTGTCTCCTTTGTTACTTCCCCCAAATGACTGCATGTACCGCAGCAGGTATATTTACCAAGTGAAAACAAATAATGGTATGTGATGCCCAGTTTCTCATGCAAGTTAGATTTATTCTAAATGTTTTTTAGTATTTCAGGGAAATTCAGAACTTAATTGTTCATCATTGGATTCCTGGCTTAGTTTGTAGACTTCTAATGGCATTTTGTTCACAGAACATAGAAACAGTTCCTCACACATAGGAATGAATGAGCAAGGCCGTGGGGATAAAAGACAGCAGGGGTGAAGGTATTAGAAATGAATGATGGTGGAGATTTGATGATGCATGATTTGGGTACCTGCAATTGGGGTACCAGAATTTCTGCACTTAACTAAGACATTTTAAACAAGGTTCCCAAAGGAGGCAGAATGCTAGAGGGGGGAGAAAGCTACTTTATTATGTGCTGGACGTTTTTCCCAAATCCTAACGTAGAAATGAGTCAGAGGAATGTGGCTGGACTACAGCCTCCAGAGCCACTTCCTTCCCCTTGACGCTTCACCATCCTCTGAAGAGCAGGACAGACAGGAGTCCATCAAAGAGCAAGTAAGTCCCAACTCTACCTCTCCAGTTGCATAGGAACAAAGGAAGGAAAAAGAAAGCAAAAGTCCACCATGTTTGTATGCGTGACCCTTTATGGAAAATGACTGCTCACTGCTGGACGTGGTTAGATAAATGTTGTATAATATGATCAATCAGGTTGGTACCTCATGGGAAACAGGGCTAGTGAACATTTCTCAAACCCTTTTGATCCTTCCCTTCATCACGTTCACAGCCCAAGTCACCCTCAGTTCTTGCTTGTGCTCTTGCAAGTTTCTGCCCATCTGCTCTTGTTATTCTCCAGGTCTTTCTCCACATAAACAACCCTTCAAAAACCTGTCAAAAAGCTTTTCTCAGTTACCTTTAAGTAAACACCGTAATTCTAACTTCCCACAGCCCAGGCGTCTCCTATAGTGAGCCCTGATCCTCTCTGCTCTTTCACTACTGAAACACTTTCAGCCTCTTGGTCGTGTCCCACTCTGCCACAAAAACATGTTTCTGTACACCATCTACTAGTGCCCCCCCATCCCATTTCAGCTCCAGCATCAAAGCTTATCCTGATCTCTCTGATCAGGTCATAACTACTCCTCTGCCCCTACCTAACACCCTCCCCCACATGACCATTTCAGAGTCTCAGACCACCTTGTGCAGCTTCTTAGCACAGGTGACTATAATGAATGCTTATTAGTGTGAAGGTTTGACTAAGGTCTCCCTGCCATTCCCATCTAGAGCTGTCTTGCTCCCCATTTGTGTCAGAGTTGGGCACAGTGCTTGATTTCAACAGGTATTTGGTCAATATGGTGGAACGAGTGCTTAGGTCCTGAGACTTATCCCAGTGCATCAAAGAATTTGCAGCACTCTTGGAGAATTGGGTTTTGTGGCTAGAAGCAGTGAGACCAGAAACTGGTATATGAGTTTCAAAGTGGTGATTTCTAAAAACAACAGATAGCTAAGCTGGGTTTCAATCCCAGCAACATTCTTGAATTTTCATAACAACTCCTCTAGGTAGGCTTAACAGGTCTTATCATTAATTCTGGGTTACAAATGAGGAAACAGGCTCAGACACATTAAGAACTTAGATGGACAAGGTCGCGTAGTATAAAGGGAGAGCCAGGACTTAAAAGTCAGACCTGATTGCTCTCATCTAGACTTTGAAAACCTGTCATTGGGTCCTCCGTATATGATATTAAGCAAATGCTGAAGACCAGTTGCACTGTTATCGCAGGCCAGTAAGGCTGCCACTGTCATCCATAAAATCAATGGATCCTGTTCATTAGACTTCCCGCTGCACCCCATGGACCTGATAACAGGTGGCTGATAGAGGGAGAATGCCTTTCTCTTGTCAGAGGGCAAACCTCCAGAGTCAACAAATAGCTTAGATACTGAAAGAGAAACCTCGAAAGGAACTGGAGACACCTGACAGCAGGAGAGTAGGACACCTCCTACTCCCACAGCTCTGACAGGAAAAGCCAGAGCATGATTAGTCGTTCTGCTGTCCTGCCCCACCTCGGAAATAGAAGCTCTCAGGCTGCTAGAGGGCCATGTGTCTCCATCAGGTTTGCATTTCCTAAGTCACCCTCTTCCAACTCCCAGTAATGCCTGACAGCCCTTCCTTCAGACTGCCTTCTTATGTCTGGGACTCTCGGAAACACATTTCAATCCAGGAAGAAGGAAATTCTTTTTCTGTCGTATATCTTCACCTGAGTCAGAGAGGCTCATTGTGCAGAGAAACTGGTATTGGAACCAGACCTAGTTTCAAATCTTGACTCTACCTCAGAGCCAGTAAACTTTCTGAGTGTGTGCAGTTCCTGGGTTTTTTAAAATAGGAAGGCATGCCCAGGGCGGTACATCACAATGACTATATATAATTATTTAATAGAATATATAAGATTTAATAATTATGTAGAACTATATATGTGTAGTTATATAGTAAATTACCTGTGCTCCCTAAATGATATATTTCACATCCCCTTCTTGTTATTGAACATTAAAACTGGAGTAAAACACCACTGTTGATAGTGATATATTTTCCATCTATCAGGTATTTTAGGGGAGCGCAAAAAATGCCTCGAAGCTATTGACCTAGAAATTCTATGATTTTCAACCATGGTTGTACCTTAGAATTGCTTGAGGAATTTAAAGTGGATCCTGATGCCCAGGACCCACCCCAGACCCAGGTGTTGGTGTTTTCTGAAACTACCCCCAGTGACTATAAGATACCGCCTGGGGAGAGGATCACTAGTCTAGCTGACCCACCTCTTGTGGTCCTATTGACTCTAGCTCTGAGGCCTAGTTGTGAGATATATTTTTGTATAAATACATTATTTACATCACGATTTAATGTTTTCACACTTCTGTTTTCATTGACTTTGTCCAAGCTTTGGTCCCTTGCAGGGTTCAGACTTTCTGACAAATGAGGTCATTTTTCATGACATGGTTTCTTCTTTAGCCTTCACATGGAAGGCAATTCCCAGCATCAACCCCTGGAAGGAAGACAGGTGAGCAACTTCTGTCTGTGGCTGAGTGGGAATGGACCATTATATGTGGACCATTATATGTGGTCCATTATCTGGACCATTATAAGCTCACTGTTGTGGGTTTCAGCTTGAGTTTGAGTTTGAGTTGTAGTGAACAGAATAAAAGGTGAGTTTAAAAATATTATGATTTTTTATATAAAAGGACTGTGATAACAGTGAATTCAAACAATGAAATGAACACAAAACTGTGAAAGGAAACACACTTTACCTTGGCTGGATGAATTAGATATTGCTATCTATTCCTGAGTAACAAGTTACTCCAAAACATCATTGCTTCAAACAACAACAATGTATAATCTTTCCTGGCTTCTGTGATCAGGAATTCAGACAGAGTCGGCAATGACAGCTTGATTTTGCTCTGTAATGTATGCGACCTCAACTAGAAGAATCTAAGGCTGGGGACTAGAAATAATCTGGTGGAATAGTCTGGTGGTGAAAGCTGATTATTGGTGAGGCCACCTAAGTGTGGGCTTTCCATGTGGCCTGGGATTCCTCACAACATGAATTCCAAGGGTAAGTGCTTTAAGAGCCAGGAAGCCAGAGGATCATCAATTGTCCTTAGGACTAACCTAAGTAGTCAAACAGTGTCATTGCTTCCATTTCTAGTGTTGGTCAAGACACATATAATGGTCCATTCAGACTCAAGGAGAGAGAACATAAACCCTGTCTCTCTCTGAAGGAATGTCAGTGTCATGTTGTAAGAAGAACACATGGGATGGATGTATTAGTACACTAATTTCTGAAAAATACAGTCTGTCTCACATTTGATTTTTACTTATGTAAAAGTCTTACTCATGTTTGTTCAGATTCCAAAAGAAACATGCTCATTGTAAGAAAAAAATTCAATAAAAGCCAAGAATTTGTACACCAAAGTAGATTTCCTCTATGACTTTACAATCTCAACCCCTCTCCAGTGATAACCACTAACAGATTGAGGTGTATTTTCCCATACTAACTATATACATATATCCAGTGCTTTTTTAAAAAACTATAACAAACTATACACACTATTCTGCAATTTATTGCTTTTTCTTATTACTGTGTGATGACAAGATGTGTCCTCTTAGCACATATAAAATCACCTAATTCTTTTTAGTGCTGGTTGTTGTAGTATGACTGTACCGTAATTTAATCAGTTTTCTGTAAGTTTGCAATGAGGTTGTTCTCATTTTCTTAAATGATTACAAATTAGAATGCAATGAACATCCTTATACTAGGCCATGTAGTATCTTAAAAATTGAATTGTTCTGTAAAGGATATGCAGGGTATTTTTCAATGGAATAAGAATGGGTTTTTTTTTTAAAGTTAATATTGTTATAACATAAATCTACATTAGCCAGGATTCGCTTCTTTTTCTTTGCAAATTTCTCTAGCCTTAAAGTGAAGAAACAGATACATTTGTTTCTAGGTTTAGAAGATGCTTATAAGTTTCCAATCTCATTTACTTAGAAATGATGAGTGGCAGGAAGTAGGTAGTTATGAAGAAAGGGGTGGATTTCCTTTCTAGTGATTTTAGCTCAGGTTGATATAGAATTAAATGAGGAATCTTTAAAGTTTGTACTGATGTTTAGAGGAAGGTTCATCAGAAGGTGATGGCAAACAGGAAACCAACTTGAGGCAAAAACAGTCATGTGTGACCCAAAATTAATAATAAAGATGCAACATACGGATAATAGTGGATTCCAATAGTATGACTGTCACCTGCCGACCTCAATCCTTTATTTATAGATAGGTAACCTCATTTAGTCTCAGATTCTTTCTGCTTGCAGAAATGGGTTATTAAAAACTCCTTTGCTGGGAATGAAGTTCTGTTACATTCTACAATATGGATAAACCTTGACATTGTGTGAAGTGAAATAAGTCAGTGAAATAAATCAGATATTGTCTGATTCCACTTACATGAAATATGAAGAAGCAAATTTATAGACAGAAAGTACATTAGAGATGATCACTAGCTGGGAGTAGGGGTGAGTGGGAAGTTATTAATGGATACTGAGTTTCTGTTTGGAGTGGTGAAAAAGTTTTGGAAATAACAGCGATGATGACACAATATGGAGAATATAATTAATGCCATTGAATTATACATTTAAAAATGGTTAAAATGGCATCTTTTATGTTATTTATCTTTCTACACACAAAAAAACCTTTGCTGGAGCAGGAGTGTTCTGTCAGCGTTCCCATGGCTTTGCCTTCCCTTTTGTTTTTAAAAGAGCAACCTCTATTTTTAGGGGTTTTTACACAAAGGCTCAGTGTGGGCGTGGGAAGTACTCCCAGATGCCCTCCTGTTTCTCAGAAGCCCACATGGAAGCCTAACAAGTTATTTAAGGTTTAGGAAATATGCCAGATTGGAAATGGAGATAATCTCTGTATGTTAATTTAAGTTTTTTTTCTCCTGGAATTTGGGGACCTGAAAACCTTACTTCACCCCTGGGAAGTCCAGATCTGGGTCTTGTTACAGGTGGTGAGGATAATCCCTCCATGGCACCACCCTCACTCCTGCTACAGACACATACACCTCAACATATGTATTATTTCTTGGCAAGATACCTTTTTTAAAAAAAAAATTATTTATGCACACAAGAACTGGGGTACAGGCCAGAGGTGTGGGGGGCGAGAGGACTTACCAGAGACAAAGTGGGAAGCAGAACAGGCAGACAGACTGAAACACACTGCTGAGGGGATCAGCAGGCGAGACAGGAGAGGTCTGCTGTGCCATGGGGTAGCTCCCTGGCCCGGGATTGAACTCATGGTGCAGTGGCTGCTGATAGCTTTGTAGGTTGTGACTTAACCCCTTGCGCCACCAGGGAGGCCTGGCAAGATAATTTTTAAAAATATTTTTTCTTGAATTGTATTGATTTGCCAGTCGTTTACATAACTATATAGGTTGGGAGTGCACCTTCGCACCTGCCTAGGGGCTCAGGCCTCACTCACCTGGCAATTGTGTCAATTGCCTGTCAATTGCCCGCTCACCTGGCAGTGGCAATTCTGTCACCTTCCTTCCCCTATCTCCTCTTTCCTCCCCCCACACCATCCCCTCTAGTAACCAAGTCCGTTTGTCAGAGTCTAAGAACTACTTTTGCTGTACTTTTTGGCAAAAGAGTTTTACTTTCTGCCAGCCTAAGGGCCACCTGGTCGGGTGACCAGCCGCGCCCTGGGATCCCTGCAGCTCAGAGTCTCAGCCTTCTCTCCGGCTTCTGCACCTGCCGGGGGGGGGGGGGGGGGGGGGGGGGGGTGCTGCGGGCCCAGCGTGGGAGCCGCTGCTGCGGGCGGCGCCGGCTCCCCAGCTTCCCTCCTCTGTGTGGGGAGCCACACTGCGTGCCTGTGCGCCTGGAGTGAGAGCGCGCGCGTCTCGGGCCCCTGAGCCGCGGGCCGGGCACCTCAGCGCGCGGCATTGCACTGGCTGTCGAGGGCAGCAGCGGTAGCGGCGGGGCAAGAATGGGGGCGTGGGGGCCCTACCCCCTCTCGTTTGCTGTCTGCCGCACCCCGGGGTCTAAATTTCCGTGGGTTCCCCCCAGCGGCTCTACACACCCCGGGAGCCGCGCCCATCTGGGCCGCGGTCGGTCTCCCCAGATCCTAGCGGAGCGGGGGCCCCCGCGGCTCCTCGCTGTCCATATGGCGCCGAGACTCGCGGGTGCAGCGAGGCCGGGGGCCGGGGCGGGCCCCGCCGCGCCCGCGGGACAGCTGCGCCCGCACCGCCCGCACCGGGCCGGCCACGTGGCGGCGGGGCGGGGCCGGGGCGGGCCCAGCGCGGGGAGCTCGCGTCCCGGAGCAGGTGAGGGCGAGGGGCTGGGGAAGGCAGCGCCCGGGGTGGTCCCGGGACCGGCCCTCACCCCACCGGCGCCCGTGCTGCTGCACGGGGTCAGGCGTGGTTGGGCCCCTGCGCCCCGGCTCCGGGACACCCTCCTCTCCTCCCGGACACCTGGCGCGCGGGCACCCGCGGGTCGGCACCTGGGCGCTCGGGCTCCTCCCGCAGGAGGCCCGGGTTTCCCCGTCGCTCTGCCGCCCCCCGTGTCTCCCCCGCACCCCCACCCTCCCCTCCTCCCGGCTCCCGCGAGCCTGCCAGCGGGGCTGGGGCGCTGCTCGAGTGGGCGTGGGCTGCCTCACTGGGGGTTCGCGTATTGGGGGTGCTCAGGGGCGCGAGCCCGAGGGGGTTCGGCTTGCTCTGGCTCCGGGGCGGATCTCAGGAGGTCTCGGGGTGCTTCCCCGCAGCCCCGGCGGCGAGGGCGCGGGCACGCGAGGCCAAGCGCCACTGACCGCCCGGTCGGCGCGGGGCCGGGCCGGGGCGGGCTCGGAGGCAGCGGGGAAGCTGTGGGAGCCCTGCGGGGGCCCTTGGCTCCCAACTCGTAACCGCAGACCCCCAAATCCATGCAGTCTTCCCAGCTTCTCTGAGCAGACTCTTCGTTTCCCGGCTCCCCCCACCCCCCTTCTGCCTGCACACTCCTCGGAGAGCGTGCCCTTCCTCGCCAGGCGGGCGCTCTCGCCGGCCGTTCTTCTCGCAGGAAGACAGATCTGCCCCGAGCTGCGCCAGTCATTTTCCCTTTTCCACCTTCCCCCACAACGGTGCGCGGCCCTTCTAGGCTTCCCCCTGCGCTGGGGTGAGGGGCACACAGAGCCAGCCGCTGCTCCTGGGGAAACTGGGTCCCGGCAAGACTGTGCTCGCTGATGAGAACCAAACCCAGATAGTGATGCTTGGACACCTTTTGCTTAGCTTCCCTCGCCCTTCCTTCCTCTTCCTGGCCCTTCTGTGTCGGGCGCCCAAGACAACCTCCTGATGGCTCCTCTTCCCCAGCTGGGTTCCGTCTCTGTGCACTAACCACCCGTGGACAGTTCCCGGGGCCCATGGTTTCCCTGCCCTGGAGAGAAGGGTTCACAAGGCAGACAAGATGGTGAGGGACGCAGAACTGTGCCTCCAGGGGCTGGCCAGCTGGCCAGGCTTCTGTGTCCTCCCCAGCCCACAGTTTGAGGGAACTCAGGGAAAGAGACCACTGAGGGTGGCTGTTGCTTTAGGACTTAAATGGGAGCGAAGGCAGGCTCTGAAGGGGGGCTGGAGTCTATCTGGTACCAAAGACCCCGTGGGCATGAGATTCCCATGAGGTGGAACAAGGTTTCTTCCTCAGCAGAAGGCCTGTCTGGTAGAAAGAATGGACAACGTAAAGGCGAGGAGGAGCCCACCTGGCTAAAGAGCATGTTTGTCTTCCAGAGGAGACAGCGTATCCCGACCGCCAGGATCCATTTCTGAGAAAATGGCCCAGATGTCTCAAGTGCAGGAGCTCTTCCATGAGGCAGCCCAGCAGGTAGGCATGGGCGGTGTGGAGGTATTTGATGGAACTGCCTGTGAGCAAGGGGTTTGCCAGACAGGAAGACGAATGGACACATTACAGTGTACTATTTTAAAAGTAATCATCGCAGAAATTTATTTTGGTATTCCAGCTTAATCACAAAAATATTTTAGCCAACTCTCTTTTTTTTGTTTTGTTTTATTTAAAGATTTATTTAGTTTTGCACACAAGAGCTGGGGTATAGGCCAGAGATGCTGGGGGTGAGAGAATTCACCAGAGACAGAGTGGGGAGCGGAACAGGCAGATTCTCTGGGTTTGCTGAAATACACTGTTGAGGGGAGCAGCGGGCAAGTCAGGAGAGGTCTGCTGCACCATGTGGGTAGCTCCCTGGCCGGGGATAGAACTCGTGCTGCAGTAGCTGCTGATAGCTTCATAGTGCTGAGACTTAACCCCTTGTGCCACCAGGGAGACCCCATTTTTTTTTTCAGCCAACCCTTAACCAACTGTGTACAGAAAATCATCTTTTGGTATTATTGGGGGTGGTCCCCTCATCCCCTCCATAGAGAACTTCCATGAACAGCATTCAGATAAGATGAACTCCTTTTAATGTTGAATCAAATGAATGTAAGAAGTTAAATTTATTTCTAAAAAACTCGTGTATACTGAAGCAAAATGGATTTCTGGATCCCCTGATATCTGTAGGTTTTATTTTTATTCTCCTTTATCTTCTCCCTATTGACCATTAGTTATAGCAAATATTCATTGTAGATATGGAATTTAAATAGCTCTCTCCAGAGACAGAAGATCAATGCCTTTAAAAAACAACAAAAACTGTGCTTAGGTGTTTAGGAAGTGGCCTTCAGGGATGGTGGAGGAATCCGAACTGGTGAGTTGCCCCCTCTTCCTGTACACAGGTGCATGTAACAGGCACAGCACATTGGCTGGCAGGTGGTAAAAACAGCAAAAGTTACTGTTATCCTTCCCGCAGCTGTATTCCTGAACCCTCATACGAGCTCCTTGCTCTTAGCCCCAGAAATATTCAAGAAATGGGTGGCTGAGGCTTGGATTAGACCCTCAAAGATATTTTCAGTCCTGGGTGAAAAGACCTGTGGTTATGTACTTAGAGTGTTCAAGGACCCTCAGGGACCTTGATTTGTCAGGGGTCTTATGTTTATTTAGCTTAACCAGTCATATAAGACTACATGAGTGGCTATGTATTTTTTAAAGATTTATATATTTATTTATGCATACAAGAACTGGGGTACAGGCCAGAAGTGTGGTGGGGGTGGGGTGAGAGGATCCACCAGAGACAGAGTGGGGAGCAGAAAAGGCAGACTGACTGAAATGCACCGCTGAGGGGAGCAGTGGGTGAGACAGGGGAGGTCCGCAGCACCGTGTGAGTCATTCCCTGGCTGGCTGGGGATTGAACTCGCGCTGCAGAGACTGTGGATAGCTTCATAGTGCTGTGCTTAACCCCCTGTGCCACCAGGGATGCCCTCTCCTCTATTTAAAACCGTGTCCATCAACTAGAATTCAAACCTTTTAGCCTAAGCCCTGCACAGACTGAATGACCCAATCTGAGATTTGAGTCTGGTTCCTGCGTCTTCCTCTTTGTACCCCACCTTCCAGCCAAAGCTCATCATTCCCCAGACTCCATGCCTGTATTTTGCCCCCACATTGGTCTTTGCTGACACTTCTCATTCAACTGGTTTGTCCTGGGAGCTCTCCAAGTACCAAGGGCAGTGCCTGGATTTAAGTGGAAAATGTTAGCTGACCAACCGAATGGACAAATGACGAGATAACTACAATGCAGGTTGATTGTCATAAGTGCCCTAAGAGACAGTTGATTTTTAAAATGTGGTGGATGCAAAGATCTCTGTCACCTCCATCCTTTTCCCTGGATGTCACTCTCAAGGTCTTCCGCTCACTATCTAGACACGTTAGAAACCCCACTCTGTTCTCTCTTTTCCTTGCACTGTCCTCTCCAAGGTACCATTTCTTGACTGAATTATTCTTACCTTCCTCACTTATTTTTCCACATTGCTACTAAAGGTAGTAGCTTAAATCTTTTCTAAAGCTTAAGTCTGTGAATTTGACTTCTCTACTTAAAGCCTTTCACTGATTTCTCACTGCCTTCAGAATTTGGTTTAAACTTATCCACCCCCAAGGCTTTCCACAACCTGTGGTCTGATCTATCACTGCACTTAACTGTGGCGCTGAAATGAGCTTTCTTTCCTGCCTCTGTTAAGGTTGCAGCTCTTTAAGTTCGACGACATGTCTTATTCATTTTTTTATCTCCAATACTTGCCATCAGAAGGTGTTCTAATATCTTCTGTAGATGATGCTTCATTGATGCTGGCTCAACTGAAGTGAATTCACCTGGCTGGGGTTTGGGGGAGCTGCCATTTAATTTGATCTTGAAGTATTGGTGGAAGTAGAATGTGTAGTGAAGTTGGGAAGCACATCCCAGGTTGAGAGTGTAAGAAGATGATAATAACTACCAATGGGCAGGCAGTTACTTTGTACTGAACATTTAAATTCCATGGCTTCATCTAATTTTTTTTTAAAGATTTATTTGCTTATGCACAGAAGAACTGTGGTGTAGGCCAGAGGTGAGGGGGCAGTGAGAGGATTCACCAGAGACAGAGTGGGGGGCAGAACAGGCAGATCTACTGAAATACACTGCTGAGGGGTGCAGCGGGGAGACAGAGGAGGTCTGCTGTGCCATATGTGGGTTAGCTCCCTGGCTGGGGGATCAAACTCAGACCGTCACAGTGATCTTGCTGAGACTTAACCCCTGGGGCCACCAGGGAGGCCCCACTTTTTCTGAAATTCACAACAACATTCCAAAGTAGATATGATTATTTTGGTTTGGCAGATGAAAAGTGGAGGGACTCCGAACCCATGTCTGTTTGTTGCTATGGCCAGGCTTTAATCCTTTCTGCTGTAATACCTCCTTTTCTGATGGCATGAGCAGAGTTACACATATGATAAAGTAGCCTGTGTGGGGAACAGACAGTAGGCTGGGTGGCTAATGTGTTGAAGCTGAACTCTGAGAGTGGCTGACCCTCCAGAAGCTTTTCTGCCTTTACTCCAGTCCTGGCGATCAGGAATTCTGTAAGAACATGCTTCCAGTGGGAAGACAGGCTGGTGGGTATTAGGACAGACTCTGCAGTTCAGAGCTGTTTTCTCCTGGTCACTGTGACTGTGCAGTAGCTCTAGGACATTTTGCCAGAGCGGTGATGCTTGTGAGTTAGGTGGAGGGGTGAATGATTGGATTCTTAGGGATTCTTGGTTTGCCTTTGTCTCAGGACCAGGTAAGGGTAAAGGTGTGTGTGTGTGTGTGTGTGTGTGTGTGTGTGTGTGTGTGTGTGAGAGAGAGAGAGAGAGAGAGAGAGAGAGAGAGAGAGAGAGAGAGAGAGGCTATAGAGAAGAAGCTGTAGATCTGAGGCTAAAGATACAGTGATCACAGGTGCATATATAGCCTGGGTTCACATACTGACTCTAATACTTTGTGATGTTGGGCAAGTTATTTAACCTGGCTAAGCCTCCACTTCCTCAACTATAAAATGACTACAATAATAGAACTCACCCTAGAGAGTTAAGAAGATTAAGAGATAACTCATGTAATGTTTAGTATAGCACTCTGTCCATAGTCAACATTTAGTACATGTTGGGTAGTAATAAAACTAAGGTGGGGAGTATGTGTTTGGCAGATGAGGTAGTAATATAAATAATCAGAAGGTTCATTTGGCAAAGCCAAATGGAAGCTCTAAGGCAGGAGTCCTAAATCCATAATGATTCCAGTGGCCAAAACCGGAATGTGGAACATGGTCCAGTACAACCTGCTGGGTGGGCGGTGCCCTGAGGGGGATGGGAGGCACTCTAGCCTAGAGCTGTGTGCGAGTGTGCGCGTGTACACCTCCTGAGCTTCTGGCAGGTGTGAGACTTGTTCTAGGAGTTTCTGTCCTTGGGTGCTTTAGTGTGGTTTGGTTGTGGACTTGACCTGGAAACTGGGGTTCCGGATTCTGCCTACGCCACTAGATGTACTGACACCTTGGGCAGGTTACTCAAGGACTTCAGTCTGCGTCCATAGCTGTGAGAGAGGGTAAGCGTACCTGATTTTCAGGGTTTTCATGCCATACGTGGAAGGATATGGCCGAGTGCCAATCACATGGCAAGCTCGAAAGACAATGTGTGTTTCATGATTGGATGAAGCAGATTTCACACTGAACCCCAGAGTAGGTTGGGAAGCAAAGGAACAGCTGGTGCCATAGGGAGGTGACCGGAAAGCAAACAACAGTGGAGTCCGTGCTTGCCTCTGCCAGTCACTGAGCACAGTGGACTGTGACATGGTGTGTCAAGAGATGAAGCAAGCGGGAGATGCAGGTAGCCTGAGACGGGCAGATGGCAGGCAGATAGGCTGTGGGTGGTCTGAAGGCCTGCAGGATCAAATGCTTTGATCTTTGGGAAGAGTGAGAAAATCGAGCTCAGTTTACCAGTCTATTCCTGCCAGGACTTCCAGCTGCTGCTGCAGATATTAAAACAGAAATCTCTTAATTACTATGGAATAAGGAATGCCTCCAGCTAATCTGTGGCTTTTGTCCTCCTCCTCCAGGGTTGGATGGTCTCCAGGGAAACTTAAAGGGATGCTGTGTCATGCTGTGGTGTGAGATGAGTTACCAAAAGCCTCAGACTGGCTAGTATGAGTGACTCGTATTCTTTTTCTTCATCCAGCTTTCCTCCATACATTTCATCTCCAGCAGAAGTAGGTCCAGGAGGACCCTTTTCTTGGAAGTCTGTGGGCTCAAGTCTGGCTTTCCTGACTTAGTCCTAAGCTAGTCACTCTAGGAAGAAGCCCAATGCAAACCCAGGGAGGAGGTGCCCCCAAAGAGCATTTGACCCACATGTGGGAGGAGGGGTTTCCAGGTGTATGAAGCTGGCTGACTTCCAGGTTGTGACCGCATCTGACCCTGCACTGTGCCCCAGCATTGCCTAATTTCCTGCCCTCCATC